TATATATATATATATATAATCTCTTATCACATAACCGCCTACATTTATATAATACTTTCACATGTATGTATAATATCAATTTACCACACATGTACACATAATTTATGCAAGTGTTATCATAATTATGCATGCTATCATACAATTCATATAATAAACACATAAGGTTACCTTGACCCAAGTTTGTAGAAAACCTGGTTATAACAATATATATATATATATATATATATATATTAAAATGGACGAGATCACCACTTGTGACCCTCTTTCCCCATCGTCGGCCAGAACATGTGTCTTCTCAAGTGCGACAGTTTACATCGACCCATTTGCCCAACATTGTCTGATGCCTCATTCTCCACTCATCGGTTGCCGCTGCTTCTTATTCTCTGCCCATCTCCAACCACCAGCAATCATCTCCTCAACTCTCACCTTCACTGGTCCGACTCCCCAATAGCAACCTAGATCAGTTTCGGTTTTTCATATCCCCAGAGATCTGGTTTCTTCACACCCAGATCGGTTTCGGTTTCTGCTTTTTGTTCAGATCTCGTTTCAGATCGGAGATGCAACCCAGATCTTGCCGGAGATGTAACACATATATCGTCGAAGATGTAATGCAGAAGATGTAAGGTTTTTTAATGTAACCAAGATCTCTTTAGAGACGTAATGTCGGGTGTAATATAATGGTAACACAGTTGTATTCATCAACCACATCTGGTATCATAGTGTGTATCGCAATGTGTTTTTGTCGTTATACGAAGTGTATCACAATGTATTTTTGTTGTTTTAAGAAGTGTAACACAATTTATCATGTAATGTTGTTTTACTAAGTGTATCACACTGTGCTTTTTATTATTTTATGAAACATATCATAGTGTGCACCATCTGTTTGTCGAAATAAGGTTCGTCGGAATAAAGTTCGAAAGAGACAAGAGAGAGAGGATAACTTTTTTCAAATACCTAAAATGCTCTTTAATTAAAACTTTAAGTTAAATTACCAAAATTATTAGTTTCCTAATTTAACCATTGATTTTTGGTTGAGATTGGATCTCACAGTTGTCACAAACTAACCAATTCTCCATTGAATAACCCCTTATGTATGTGTGTGTGTGTGTGTGTGTATATATATATATATATGGTCATTCAAGAGAGAACTGGTTAATTTGTGATAACTGTGAGATCGAATCTCAACCACAAATCATTGATTAAATTAGGAAACTAATAATTTTGGTAATTTGACTTAAAATTTTACTTAATGAGCATTTTATGTGTTTTAAATTTTTTATCTCTCATCTCTCCGACGAACCTTATTCCTGCAAACCTTATTCCGTTAAACACATGATGCACACTATGATACCCTTCATAAGATAACGAAAAAACAAAGTGTGGTACACTTAGTAAAGGAACATTACCTGATACATTATGTTACACTTCATAAAACAGCAAAAATACATTGTGATACACTTCGTATAACAACAAAAACACATTGTGATATACATTATGATACCACTATGATACTAAATCTGGTTGTGAATACAACTGTGATACCACTGTATTACACCCAACGTTACATCTCCGACGATATCTAGGTTACATCCAAAAAACCTTACATCTCCGACGTTACATCTCTGATGATATATGAGTTATATCTCTATCGATATCTGCGTTACATCTCCAGCAAGATATGATTACGTCTCTGATCTAAAACGAGATATGTGCAGAAACCAGAAACTAAAACTGATCTGGGTGTGCAGAAACCAAATTTGTGCAGATATGAATAATCGAAATCGAGCTGAGTTTTGTTTTCTCGATTGGAAGAAGCCATCAAATATGTTGAGATGCGACGGAGTTTATGGCAGAAGCCAGATTAGTACGGCTCTCCATTCAGCATCGTCGTGGTTGAGATAGAGATGGTTGAGATTAGCAGCAAGAATGGTTGGGATCGGCGGCGAGAATGGTTGGGATCGGCGGCGAGAATGGTTGGGATCGGCGGACGAGAATGGTTGGGATCGGCGGACGAGAATGGTTGGGATCGACAGCGAGAATGGTTGAGATCAGGTGGCGAGAATGGTTTAGATCGGTGGAGCATGTGGAGCTTTTGGAAGTGGGTACTAAGGGAGGATGAAGAAATGACTGACCAAATTTATTTGGAGTTTCAAATTCCAAAAAGATTTAACATTTGGGGTTTTATAAGATGTAAAATTTACTAATTTACCCTTTGTTTTATTTTAATAAATAACATTAATTATCTAAAATGATTGACTAATATTGGACCTCATAGTTACCACAAACTATCGAGTTCTCATTTGATTAAGCCCATATATATAACCAAGTAGTAGCAATATCACGAACCTCATTACGAGCTTGTACACATGCTTCTAGAACTATTAGATTAGCTACGGCACCGGGTGCATTTCTCAAGGGTGCTCTAAAGTCCTGATACCGAACTATAGTATGAAATCATTCCAAAAGATTTCAGTAATTATATTAAAATAATCCTAATTTGGTTTAGATTTTTAGTAACCTCCCAAAATCCTCACATTCCAAATACCATCAAGAGGGTTGATCGTGAGAGGATAAATTTCAAACTAAAGAAGTTTGTATTTTTTTTTATTAATTATTTTTAAATTATATTCTAAATAAAACATTTAGTGGTCTATAATTAAAAGAAAGTTATTTAATGATTTATATTTGGATATTGGATTAATTGTATTAAAATAAAAGAAAATTAATTAAAGTAACCATTTTTTTATGATGAGTTTCATTTCTTAGCCATTTCTTTCTTAAACTAACAAATATAATCATAAGTCCGTAATTAACAGCTCTACAGTTTGTAGAGGTTTTAAAGTGTAAAAAAAATGTTTCTGAAACAAGGACCAAATATGTAAATTAGTTATAGCTCCCCATCCCCACTCCCCCAAAAATATGTTATTGTTTTTCCAAATTTATGTATTTGGTCCCTATAGTTCAAAAACATTTTTTCCTTACATTTTGACCACATCTTAAATTTTGGACCTGATAATTACGGACCAATGACTATTTTTCAATATTTTAGAAGAGAAATGGCTAAAAGATAAAACCATACGGTAAAAATGATTATTTTAATTAATTTCCTTAATATAAATGTATTTATTTCTATCTTTGTTTTGGTAAGTTTTTTTTTATTAACCTAGATATCCAACCCACTATGCGAGCCGACTAAATTCAGGATGACCACCTGCTTTGCAGATAGACCGGAGTCACTGCATTTGAACCTCCGTGGCCATAAGGAGATTTTTATTTCTCCTTGGATTTGAACCTGGGACCTCCTGGTACTTTTGACATTTGAAGCCAAACTCAAACCAATCAGACACCACTTATGGTTTGTTTTGGTAAGTTTAGTTTCAACAGTTTATTTTTAGCAACGTGCCTTTGATACAATAAAGTTTAGTTTAGTTTCTATCTTTTATCCACTTTTTATAAAAGGATATATACCTTTTTTTTTAAATTAGATTTAAAACACAAAATAAATGTATTACTAAATTTAGTACTATATATATAGTAATTATAGAAAATCAAACGTGAAAAATAGAGGCCAACAATTTAAAACATAAAACAAATAAATTACTAAATTTGGTAACCTCTAAATTTTTTTAATATTATAGTTATAGGATGAAATAGAAAAAAATTATGTATTTGTGTTTTTAGTGTAAGATTAGAAATATTAAAACAAACTTAATATTTCCTGCTATTTTGATTTAAGTGTTCGATTCTGGTGAGAAGTGAAGTTATGGTAAGAATTGTAAAAGAAATCTCCACATTTGGATCAATCCTAATTGAATGTCAACACTAATGAAGTGCACCGAGATACACCAGATCAATTTTCTTCTAAAACGTAATTCATTGATGGACATAAAATTAATCAGATCTTTTTTTACACTTCTTACCATAACTTTTTTTTTTACACTTGAAAACAAAAAAATAATAATAATAATAATAATTAAGGAAAAAAAACCTTCTTTTTACAATGTGGCTTTCACCATTTTTGGAAGTTATCAAAAAACATATGACCAAAAGTCGAAAAGTCATCCAATATTTAAACTTCCAGAAAGAAAAACTTGACCCACAAAAATAGTACAAGTTTCAAGCCTAAGTTACAAGTCATGATAGCATTTTTTGTTCTGGAATAATCGATTGTTGGTCTGGAAATAAGATTTACCCAACAAATCCCATGTTTTGCTATCATGTGTCTCTTGCATATAGTAGTAAATGGTATGATCATAATTACCATCATCATCATCATCATCATTATATCATAATAACCACTAAAATCATGTGTTTTCATGTCGTTATATAAAACAACATACGATGATTAGTGGTTTTTAAGGTTCTATGAAGTTTTTATATTCTTATTTTATTATTCCTCCATCATGTATATATATATATATATGTATTATATATACAGAGCTCATGCATGCAAAATAAGGGCAGTTGGGTTGGCTACAATACATCACATTTCCTTCATCATTTTCTTTCACCACCATCAATGTCTTCGCCGGTGGAATCGCCGGATCTTGGTCACCGGAAAACCCAATATATAATCAAAACCAAGTGTGCTTCTTATGTGGTGTCTCCGACTTGCTATAGATTAAGTTGGTTTCGCCAGAAAAAGGTGAATCCTACTTCAAGAAAGCAGATTTTGAGGGATGTCACTTGTGAAGTCAAACCAGGGGAGATCACTGCGCTTGCTGGTCCAAGCGGTGCCGGAAAAACGACATTGCTCGAGATTCTTGCCGGAGTCATCCCTCCCTGCAGAGTCTCAGGTCAGGTTCTGGTCAATGACCGGCCAATGAACCCCAACGTTTTCAGGCGAGTTTCAGGCTATGTAACACAAGAAGATCTACTGTTTCCTCTTCTTACCGTTGAAGAAACACTCCTCTATAGTGCACGTTTACGGCTCCATGGCGGACTCGCCGACGCAAAAGCTAGAGTCAAAGACTTGCTGGAGGAGCTCGGGTTACAACATGTTGCCGGAGAAAGAATCGGGGCGGGAACTCACCGTGGGATATCTGGCGGCGAGAAACGGCGGGTGTCGATCGGTGTCGATCTGGTTCACGATCCAGCAGTGCTTCTGATGGACGAACCGACATCGGGACTGGACTCGGCTGCGGCTCTTCAAGTCATGTCGTTGCTCAAATCCATGGCTAAAAATCATGGAAAAACAATCGTTTTAACAATTCACCAACCCGGGTTTCGAATTCTTGAAGTATTCGATCAAGTCGTGCTGTTAGTTGATGGAACCTTGGTTCATCACGGCTCACTCGAATTCCTGGACCAACGACTCAAGTTCGCCGGCCATTCCATCCCTCGCCAGGTCAACGTGCTCGAGTTTTCCATCGATGTGATTGAAACCTTGATTACAGAAATTGAATCAGAACCAACTTTCAAGCTTATAGAAGATCAAAAACAACAATCTGATGAAGATTATCATTTGATGTATGCAAATTCACCAATGAATGAGGTCCTGATACTCAGCCAAAGATTCTGCTACAACATTTTCAGAAGCAAACAGCTTTTTATCGCAAAAATGCTTCAATCAATCGTAGTCGGGCTCGTACTAGGGACGGTTTTCAAGAACGTTAACCGGTTTCAAATGCAAACCCAAATCGGGTTTTTCGCATTCAATCTAACGTTTTTGCTCTATTCATCATCAGAAGCTTTGCCGATTTTCTTGCAAGAACGCAGAATTCTAATGAAAGAGACCTCGATAGGTGCCTATCGGGTTTCATCATATTCCGCAGCCAACACTCTTGTCTTCATCCCGTTTCTTTTGATCGTGGCGCTTCTATACACCATCCCGACCTACTTTCTGGTCGGACTACGGAGCGATCTAGATGGGTTTCTCTACTTCTCGCTAGTTGTTTGGCTAGTTCTGCTAATGTCGAACTCTTTTGTGGCCTGTTTTAGTGCACTCGTGCCTAATTTCATGATCGGGATCTCTTTGGTTGCGGGGATAATGGGTTCGTTTTTTCTGTTCTCCGGGTACTTTATATCAAATAACGACATACCCAAATACTGGATTTTCATGCACTATTTGAGCCTATTTAGGTATCCATTCGAGTGTTTTCTGATAAACGAGTTTGGGGGAGCGAAGGGAAGATGGAGGTGTCTCGAGAGATTCGAAGATGGATGCTTGGTTTACGGTGAAGAGTTCTTGAGGAAGCAGAATCTCAAAGAGATGCAAAAATGGTACAATTTGGGGATGATGTTAGTATTCATCTTTGGGTACAGGTTTCTTTCTTTACTGGTGTTATGCTACAGATCTTACAGGAGCAGAAACTAAGGAAACTAAAAACCAGTTTTCTAGTTCTAAAGTTTAGAATCAAAGCATAGATTAGTTTCTTTCGTTTCGTGTTCATCATCCCGATTTCTGTGATCGGGCTGTTTTCAAAATTCTAATCTAGACTAATAATGTTTAACATGTTTCGTACCTACTTATCTTGTTGTTTCTCCATACGGTTTTGCTAAGAGAAATAAGGTTCGTTAAAAGCTAAACTCTAAACCCTAAAAGTTCGTCTGCAAAAGAAAGACTGTATGAAGATGTTCCCGCTGAATGCTTGCAAAACTGTAAGAGTCCTACTGAACCCAGGTCTCCGTTTTACATCTAAGATATAGCATGATGGTCCGATCGAAGTTTCAATCTGTATACAAGTGGTCCAACCAACATATTCATCTCCTAAATAAGCAAAAGCTACATAGCCATTATAAAAGTGTAAAGCAACCCTGGTGTCCAATGAGACGCAAGTCTCAAGTTCGTTTAGAACCACACCCGTTGATCGGAAGGCCTAAAACTTGTCCGGTTCATGTGAAAGAAATGCTTTGCATTAACCCTATATGCTAATCAGACCAAATGGCTCATATACCTAGTGAAGGGTCGCTACCGGGAAGACCTTGTGTTTACCCTTTTGGTTCACCATTAGAGAGGTCACTGGTTCAAGTCCCCCTAGGGCCACTGGAAGGGTCATCATTTCAAGTCCCCTCAGGGCCATTGGAGGATTTATCTGGCCATTAACTTTAGGGCCCATGGAATTAGTCGAGATACGTACAAGCTGGCCAAAACAACCACAGTTGGCCAAAAAAAACCAAACGAGTTCAGTATATTCCACCCGGAGGTGGGGGTTTTGGGGGGTCGGATATACTCGAGACCTATCCACTAATCCAAGGAGTAGAGAAGTTGTTTTTGTGAAGACACGGGCTTTAAGAGGTGCAATAAATTGGTTCATTTAAGAGAAGTAATAAATGAATGGTTCCAAAAATGGATTCAGATACATCATAAGGTCAACAGAAGGTGAAGTTAGTACAGTACTCAAGAGCTTTCTGGCATTACAAAGTTATGTTTGGCTTTGATAGATTTCAGCTCTGTTTGACTTTTCCAGTTATGTTCTCATTGTTTTCAGAATCACATTCAATACATTCATCAATTTCACAACTCACTTAGGGCCGACAGAGGTATTTATTGAGCAATTCTATATGAAGTGGTTCCTACATTCAATGGCTTCATCTTCTACCTCATAAAACCGTCATAAAACTGTAAAAGCTTCAAATTTCTACCGAATACAAAACAACATTAAGCCCAAAACATACATAAAAGGGTGCAGGTGATTCGTGTTGCTGAAAAATCTTGAAATAACTAAATCATACCAAACTAAATGAACCCAGTATATCCCACATGAGTAGGGGTAAAATGTACACACTCGGGGTAGACATGTAGATTCCGTGAAGACCCTTGGCTTGCGGAAAAAATCTTTCTATTTTTTTTTTTTTTTGCAAAAAAGCTGTTGATCTTAAGCGGACACCAAAATTACATAGAAAAAACAAGAAATGAAGTTTGGAAGAGTTAAATGAAGAGCAAGTAGAGCAGTTAGAGCGAGTATGCAAAGTAAACAACATGAAAAAAGATTGAGGGCGTAAAGGCATTAAAAGAGAAGGAGAAGTACTAGACAACTAATCAGCCCAACACGTAAGGTATCGAAAACCTCAAACCGGCTAAACTAGCAACTTAAGCTACACCAGGCTATCCCAAAGAATCCCTGCTACCTAGAGTTGTGCAAAAAGTTATCTCATCCAATTACAAATGAACGACCAAATTTCGATATCCAATTGTAATTGGACCAGATGGGATCGAAAATTTCAATATTTCAGTCGGTTGTTGGATGAAAATTTAAATCCAATAAAATCGAATCAATCCAATCCAATCCAATTACCATTCAATTATATTGGCCGTTCAATTTATATAGCTGTCTATTTATCAGTAGTGTTTTTTAGTGAAACGTATGGATAACTGGTTGGAATGGTTGGATCACTAGTATAAATGGTTGGATCGATTCAATCAAGTCCAATAAATAACCAATATTAATTTCCATTTGATAGAACCGATCCAATCCAATCATCCTTCAAAAATGACAAAAACAGTTCAAGATAGCAAACATTCTCTAACATTTCTCTTATATTCAAACCCATGGCTGATAATAGAACTAGAATAGATTGTTTTTGGTGCCTACTCACACGGACCCATATCCTTGCTTTTCTATCAATCAACTATCAAAATTCAACATCAAATAGATGATTGGATTGGATCGGTTCCGCCCAAATCCATTGAATGTGAACCGATGAGCACCCCTACCACTTGCTGTCCTAGGACTTTCGTACGTAGTTATCTACTCTCTAACCCTCCCTCATCAAGACCTCTACCACTCCAACAATTCCCCCGACCATAATAACCACAAATCCTTACATAAAAGAAATCTTGAAATCTTTCTATGATATCACAAGTTGGAAGTCCACATATTTCAGCATCTAAGGCTCCTAAGACCCTCCGATTTGCTCTTTTGGTTTTATTATTATGTTGAAATTTGCGATTTGAAAAATGGTGAGACTCATAACAAAGACATTGCATAGAGAAGACAGAGGAAATCACCTCCATCTCATTTGGTCAAACTACTAGTTAGTCATCCAAACAAGACTAACAAGCAAACACATAATACAAGCATATGTTCATTAGTATTACATGGATTGCTAACAACGACTTTGTGCATGTGTGTGCACATATGCGTTCAAATTGAAATAAGCCAACATACCTTTTAAGGAACAACGCTCCCTTCATTGTGAATTTTGAGGAAGTCTCTAATGCAAGCAACATTACCCTGCAAAAAAGGCGAACCTTGTAGGTACTTCAGAGTTCAAACTTGTGACATAACAATGGTGCAACCTTCACGTCAGCGGTTCTTTGTCAACCAAAAAACCAAACGAACCCAATAAATCCGACACATAAATAGGATCTGGGGGTAGGATGTATGCAAACCTTGCCGGGGTTACAAACTAATCATAATAATGATGCACAAATTAAAATCCATATATAGAACATCCATCATGGGCGTTAGAATTATGAACAAAGATTGACGTAAAGATTTCATTATCTACAACCAAACTTGCAGTGAGTTGTTTGACATACAGATTATGTATCACTATGGTACAGATGACCTTCATTTGTATATAAGAAATGAAATATGTATTAATAATTACACATGACTGACAAATAACATCACCTCATTCGCAAAGACTACACAAGGAACATCATCGGTTCTTAGTCAATGTTCCAGAAGGTACAAATCATTCATAATGAAGACATGCGAATTAAAAATCCAATTCAAATAACATATATAACATCATCATGAGCATAAGAATGATGAACAGGGGATCCAAGTAAAAATTTCACTATCTACAACTAAACTTGCAGTAAGTTGTCCAACATACACATTATGCATCACTCATGTACATATAACTTTCTGTTGTAAATCAGAAATGGAATATGTAAAACGATTTCGTATGCCCAAAAATATAAACACACTGGTCTATTCCAAGATATCACCTCATTCACCAGAAGTCTTCTAAAGAAGATGAGTTTGAAGGGGTAAAAAAAGACATCCTACGCCTTTTGTTTGAAAGTGTATTGCTTTCAGAGAACTCCTGTGAAGCATAGAATTTATCGAGTACAGATTTAAGCGCTTGTCGTACAGAACTCATGACATCTTTGATGTTTACGTCATCTTTGCTACCAGTAATTACAAAAAGATTCATCATCCTGCTTCCTAAAGTTGCAATTTCTGCCCGAATTGTTTTTAGATGGAGGCCATCAAGAGCTTCCTTTAAATCAGAAAGGACCTCGTGTTTATATTCGCAACATAGAGATGCCTTTATGGAGTATGAGGATCCATCCAAACTGTTATCATCTTGTTGTTCAACCTTTACTTCATCAATGTCCATTGGTATGAGAACACCTTTAGTGGTGTCTGTAGCATTCCTCCTCAGTTGCTTCAGATGGGAGATAACTTCGGCAAGTAACGATGCTTTGTCCATCTGTTTGTTCATGAAGGAAATTAAGCTACAATCTCCAGGAATGACAGTCAAAAATCAAGAAAAAAGCATAAAATGCTGACTAAAATTTCTACCTTTTCGTACATTTATATGCATATGACAACAATATATGGAGAAAAAGAATAAAACGGTTGTTATGGTAAGATACGAAAGGCATGCCAAGAAAAAATAGGTTACAAATCATCAAAAAGATAGAAGATCTTCATAATGGGCTATATGAACTTGATATTGGAGTTGGGTTGATATTATATATCTATGAACAAACATGAAAGATATCCACTCAGCATCCTTTTATGCATTTAAAAATTTCTTTTAGATTCTTCCTAACTTCCAAATTTTTGGACAAAACATCTGTCTCACCCTTGACTGTCAACAATTTTCTGCAAGCCGGGGTCTGCACAACAAAAACCTCTTTGTCCCTTGTGGTAGAGAAAAGGCTCATTTACATCCTACCCCTGCAGCCTTTGTGCCCCTTGGGGTGGCAGAAAGGTATTGATACATCCTACCCTCCAGACCCTACCTCCGAGTTGCGTACATGTGGTATGTTTGGTTTAGCCTTTTATTCATTTACACAATAACAAGTGTGAATTTGCTATGAGGAATTCTTTAACATTACCCCCCACCCCCAAAAAAGGAACACACACACACACACACATTTTATGCTGAAGTACATTAAGAACCGGGCTAATCATTCCTTTCGCATATTAAACTATACATATAAAAGTTGAAGAACAAGCATACACTATACATATAGTACTCCCTCCATTTGGTTTCTATAAAGAGATGCACATCTGTGTTTATTGGTTGAAATCGACAGTCAAATCGATATATTTTGGGGAAAACTTTGAGAAGCAGATTTAACTTTTTTTAACAAGTACCAGGAATAGAAATATGTATGCGTATTATTTGGGGAAAATCTCCATGCCAATTTTGGATTTTTACAGCAACAAGGTTGATCTCAAAAGTCAAAATGTGGCCACAGACTAATCCCACAAACGATCCAACAAAACCATATTGAATTAATTAGAATAAACCCAGATAAATTCAAGCAAAGAATCATCGATCGAATCAAATACCATGATGAAAACTTTTAAAAACCAACACAAATTCTAACATAATAAGCTAAAAAAGAGCAAAAAGGTAATTGACCTTATTAGTGCCTGGAATGAGGCTACGAAGCATCGAGAGATGACCGTTAATTCTCTCTCTCCGCCGTCTCTCAGCCTCGCTATGATTCCTCAAAGCCATTAAAGCCTTCTCTGCTTTTGCCCCCTTTTGATGATGACGCTGATGATGATGCTGATGAGAATGAGGATGAAGATGATGATGAATAGTTCCAGGACGCACCAAAGCCCTCACTATCTCTCCCCTTTCACTATCCAACACCAATGAGGAAGACGAAGAAGTCGTCCTTCCACAACCCCCTCTCATCATCATCATCTCCTTCAACGCATACTCTTCTGATGAAGTAAACCCCTTGAAACAATTTGGAGGGAAATCCATGGTATTTGTTTGGATTTGGGGAAAGATTAGAGCCTAATAAAGTGATTATGGAAGTGGGGTTTTGGTCCATGATTGAAAAAGTTTGTTGATATCATCTTCAAATCAATGAAGAAATAATTCTGGTGATTGTTGGAAGCGTTGAAAAGAAAGGAGGCCTTGGTTTTTGAAGCGACAATCACGTAAATCAAGCGCTATTTAAACAGTTTTTTTTCCTTTAATTTTAATTAATTATTTTGAGTTATTTTAAATCAACAATTGTTATTAAATAACCTAAACCATTTCTCAATAAAATATTCAATATACACGAATTCGTCATGAAATTAATTCAAAACCACTTATGTTGTATTTTTAAATAACATATTAAATATAAATTTGAAGATATCATAAAGATTTAACAAAAATATATTGATATTAGTATCAAATTAACTATTTAAAATTTATATTTTTTGTGTACTTTTTTGACTCAATTTTTTATCATAATTTAGTTTAGGTTCAATAACGAAATAATTTATATTTAATTTAATAATATAATTTTCTTATAAAGATAATAATTAATTATTTTGTTAGAACTCGATAATTCTTCTAATTATATTTTAGATTATTTATATTTTAAAATGAAATGTTTATCATCTATTTGATTATGTTTATTCGCAGTTAGTTATACGAATTCAAACATCGAACTTTAATAAGTTGTACTTATGCATAATTTACTTGTAATCTTTAATTATAAGTAATATGCATCAATATACGGTACTTCATGCATAAAAAACGGTTTTTAAGAGTTTTTGTCAAATTCTTTATAATATAGTATAGATGTATTCATATCACACTCATGAAACTTGTTATGTAAAATAGCTAAATGTTACGCTTTATAGTAAAAGTGTCCTAATTTTTTTTATTAAGACATTCAAAAAGTATTCTATAAACTTATTACAACACATTTAGATAGAACATTTTAGCGTTCTCCTACAAACTTATATCATATAAAACAATTTATTAGAACACTTAGAATTTGTTGGCGTACTATAAACCAATTTTTGTTGTAATGCGTTACCTCATATATAAAATAGTACATGTGAAATAGACAATGTTTATATTTTACACAGTGTTCTTTTATACAATGAAACATTTAGAACTGTTTTGTGTGTGAAAAAACACCCGAACATGTTTATAGATAAAACATGCACACATACAAGAATAAAACATATAAAACAATAGGATTATAATTTAAAATCAAACTTTTTTTTGATTAACTTGGATATCCAACCCGCTATGTGAGCCGACTAATCCCAGAGCGACCATCTACTTTGCAGGTAAACCGGAGTCACTGCATTTGAACCTTCGTGGCCCACAAGAGGATTTTTATTTCTCCTTGGATTTGAACCTGGAATGTCCTGATACTTTTGACCTTTGGAGCCAAGTTCAAACCAATTAGGCACCACCCTTGTGGTTAAAAAAATCTGACAAATACTTTATGAATAATTTATATTGATTTTCACGAACTTATAACATTATTGTAATAATTTATATTAATCCGACAAATACTTTTAAAAAAAAAGTTAAGAAAAATGTAACATTATTGTCTTGACATTATTAACTCGAACGATGTCCTACCGAAAAAGTTTTAAGCTTGTAGATCATAAAGTTTTCCCTGAAATTTTAATGAATTTTAAAGGACAATCTAAAATACTTATATAACAATACCTTGCATAGGTGAAACTTGACGTGTTTTATAGATATTTTTCTCAAAATAAATAGTTTTTTAATTATTAAATAGACGTTTTTCGAACTATAGATCCTTGGACAAACGTTTATTTAGACCGGTAATTCTTAAATAATCATTCTAAATATAAATTTTAAAATAATAATTAAATGAAGTATATTTTATTTTAAATTCATTTTCTATGGTTTATATATATATAGTTGGGTTCTGTTAAGAACTCCTAATTTTCATGAGATCCTATTTGCAACGTTGGAGTTTTTTTACTCAAGATAGATGATTGTGCATTACTTATAAATAAATTCAGAAATCATATGTAAGAACTATAGCATTTCGTAATTTATTGGAAAATCCACTTTGATTCTCTRTCAACCAATAATGTGGGACCATTAACATGGTTAAAGCTAAACTGTTTGCGTTTTTGCAGAGAATGGCACTTCCACCTTTTGGTTTTTCGCTTCTACGTGTTATCTGCTCAGTTTTGTTAAGGTATTATAAACTTTTCATTTTAAGGTATATGTGCATGTTGATGTTTCCATGTTAACATTTGTTAGGGTTTTTCATGTTAAGATATGTTACGTTTTTCATGTTAAGGTATATATAACCTATGTAAAGTCTTGTGTCCCTTACATCGATGTTATTGAAGTTTCACGTAACGATAGTCATGTCACCTAGGGGAGGAAAAAAATGACCCAATCCATTAACCCAACCCAGAATTAGCATGTTGGGTTGAGATTTTCAACCCATTTAAATAAATAGGTCAACCTGTCTAACCCATTTAAATAAATGGGTTGGGTTGGGTTGAATTTTTTGACCCGTTTTCAACCTGGTTTCAACCCACTTAAAATATTATATAAATTTATCCTATTCTTAATATTATATCTATTTTATTTTTTATTTTGTTTCTTCTTAAATAAATTGGCCCAAGTTTCATGATGACTCTTCGATTTCAATCATTCAATTCTTCATACGCTTCATTACTAATCAGTATCATCTATCATGAGTCTCGACGCTTTGCCTTCAATTCTTCAATCTCCATACGCTTCGATTATCAATCTTCTCCCCTTCTTTTGAGTTCTGTCTTCTCCAATCAAAGATTTGGGTTGGTTTCAGACTTTCAGTTTCCGATTTGAGGTTGAGGGCTTGATCAAGTAAGTGAGCATGTTGCCGGATTTATAGAACTTTGTTTTGATATATGTTTAAATTGAGTACTACTGGAGATGGTTCCTTTCAGATTTTGTATAGTTCGTTTTGCCATTGTGGGTTTTCTATGAACTACCTCGTATCTTCTTACATGCTTTTGAGTGGATACCTGAAAATGGCGAAAATTGATATCCAAATTTATTAGGTAACTATTATCACCTCTAAATGTATAATCCGGGTCCAGCTTTGTTGGTACACTTTCTTGAGGGTAAAATATTCAGATTGCAACGTTTTCTTATTGAGTTGTTATTTTTCAAATCACTATACATGCTTTTCTGTTTCAAAAAAAGGGCATCATTCTACTTAGAATTTAAAAAGTTTCAACTTATTTTGAACAATATATTTATTGTGATTGTGTTTTATTTAAACTTTGAACAATTTGGTTGTATTGTGGTTGTGTTATGTTTTATTCAAAAAAAGTTAAATAGTCTCGTTATTTTTTATTTAAAATTTTAAAATTAAATGGGTCAACCCACGTTCAACCCATTTATTTAACAGGTTGGGTTAAGAAAATCGTAAGCAGGTCAACCCACTGTCAACCTATTAACCCAACAGGTTGGGTTGGGTTGAAAAATCTCAACCCATTTAATTAAATGGGTTGGGTTGAGTTGCGATTTTCAACATGTTTAATAAATGGGTTGAACCCGAATCCAACCCAATCTGACCCATTGCCACCCCTAATGTCACCATGTTTTTTAATCTTTTGATAAAGAAATCATTTAAGAGTTTTCATACAAATAAATGTTCTTACATGATCCTAGTGTGTTTGTGCGTGCACGTACGCACACGCACACACATATGGGTGCATTCGAGGGAGAACTCGGTAATTTGTGATAATTGTGAGATTCAATCTCAACCTCTCATTACTAATATTCAATGGTTAATATTAATAATGTTAATTTTGGTAATTATCCATTAATTTTCAAAAAAAATATATTTATCTATAATATTTAGGGGTAAAGTAGTCTTTCTCTAACTCTCTCCTCCCTCCTTTCAATACTTCTAACATGAACTTCCAAATAGTAAAACACAAACATACGTGATACATATTGTGATACCTAAGAACTTATAAACAGTAAGACACAAACCTACTAGAGCCTCCTTTTGAGTACTCCTAACATGACACTGTGATAACCACTGTGATACCCAAGAATTTTTAAACAGTAAAACACAAACCCATGAAATCCTCTCTTTTAAATACTTCTAACATGGTTCTAAATGCACTATAGTACCCCAAGAGCTTGAACACAAACCCTAAGTCCAAATCATAACCCTAAATCTAAACAAAAAAATGTAAACAGTAAAGATCAAATTTTACTAAAAAATAGAGATCAGATCTCCTAGGCAAAGTAAGCAAGAGAAGTTGTCAAGTGGGAGAAAGCAGCAACAACACCAAGGGTTTTGCGGCACCACTATATGAAGTTCAATAGTTATTATGATCATTGGGCTACACTGATAAGAGAACTTTATTCGTTGAATATGGGAATCTTAATGAGAACGGGATCCGTAATCCTCCATCGCCAATGTGTCCCTGTCATTTGCTCGTCACAGTTAACGAAAGATACAAAGGAACGACAGATACAAAGGAACAAAAAAGAAGGTAGTGTCGACGTGATTTTATGCCCCCTGAGCATCGAAGGTTCGATCGGTGAGCCGTCGTGTAAGAGATGATGTACAACTGTGAAGAGAGCGATGGAAGGGATGAGGAAGCCTGGAAAGAGAAGGATGAGGAATTCGTATATGAGAGAAGGGAGATGTTAGTTTCCTAAGATAACGTCTAAGCCTTAGGAATTAATTGATGAAATTAAAAAATAAAAAATATAAAGAGTTGCCATTAAATTAACAAATTACAAACATACCCTTTTATTATTATGAAAGAAATATTTAATGAAAACTCCATAATTTATGATAACCGTGAGATCCAATATGAACCATTAATTTAAGATAATTAATGATATTTTTTAAATAAGCTAAAAAGGGTAATTTGTCATACGAATCTATTACCTCAATTTTCTCATTCACATAATAATATATCTCTAAAAATCATCTTTTTACTTTCTCTCCATATTCCAGTCGCCTCCCTCCTAACTCCGGTAGAACCACCTCATGTTCTCCCTCAATACCATATCCCTACCACCATCTCCCCAAGTCTCTATCTATATCTGCATGTTGGGCAAAATTTCAGTCAATGACAACAGTTAA